TCTCTGTCTCAAATAAATAAATAAAATCTTTAAAAAAAAAAAAAAGAAAGCAATGAAGCTTCCCTGAAAGCCTTGTTCTAGCTGCTGCAAGAGGCACTGTGGCGTAAGAATTTATTTCAAAATAAAATTTATTGGCTTCTCACAATGAGCAGGGGTTTTTAAGGTACGTTATATAGCCCCATCCTCACCTCAACCCAGAAATAACCTCTAAGAGAGAAGATATTATTGCCACTTCACAAAAGAAACGAGGCTCGGGTAGTTTAAGTGGTTTGTCTTTGTTCACACAGCCGGTTGGCCGGCTTTCAAAGCAGTGCTATGAGACCCTGTCTTCCCAACGTGGAAGAAGCATGAACCCTGAAACCCAACAGACTGGACTTTGAATCCCAGCTCCCCTCCTTCTCTGTATCCATCCTTAGACAAGTCACTTAGCTTTTGTTTTTTTTAGCAATACCTACTGCCCAGACTTGTTCTGAGGATGAAATGGTATAACACACGTAGGGGGCTGGCACAGACCCTGGCTCATTCAATACTTCTCCCAACCCCGGTTCACTCCAAGTAGGGCTAGGACCATTTTCCCATCAACCCAGCAAGCCACATAGGACTTATTGGTTTAGCCAGGGTATACAAGTGTCATCCTCAAAGCCCAGCTCTGTCTGACCCTCCCCACACACAGGCCACAGACCAGGACGCAGAGGAGCCCAACAACCTGGTGGACTATTCCATCACCCACGCAGAGCCTGCCAACGTGTTTGACATCGATGCGCACACGGGGGAGATCCGGCTCAAGAACTCCATCCGCTCCCTCGATGCCCTGTACAACATTACACCTAGTGGGGACTTCACGTGGTCCCTAGAGGTGCAGGCCAAGGACCGTGGCTCCCCATCCTTCAGCACCACGGCCTTACTCAAGATTGACATCACAGACACTGAGGTGGGTACCAAGTCTGTGTTGGGAAGAGGGTCGGAGGGTCAGCTCAGGCCTTGCTGCAGTGTGATCAGAGGAAGAAAGACGATCTCCAGTCTCCCTCCAAAAGACACTCAGTGCTAGCAAAGCCTGCCTTTGCCATCAGACACACAGGCTTTAGAATCAAGCAGAAATCCTTGTTTCAATACCTTTTGACACTTCCTTTCCTATAAATTGGGAATAGTGAAGGTTCCTTCACATGGGTGTTAAAAGGCAGAAGTAAAATCATGATGTGTAGTTCTCAGCTCAGTGTCTGGCAGAAAATCATGACTTAGGGGGTTTCTGATACATTTGGGCAGACGAGGCCTTCCCTAACCAAAGGTAAGCAATACCCTAATCTCCCAAGAAAAGAGTCCAGCTAATGCAGGAGTTCTTAATCTGAAAGAGGTTGCTTGCATTATCCTCTCTCAGTGTGCATTTTTCTGGAGAGCTGCGTGCATCACGTTTTCTCTGTGTGCGTTTTTTCTGGACTGAAGCCCATAGTGCTAGTCGGATTCTCCAGGGATGCCTGACCCCAGAAAGATGGTTTTTAAACCATCAGGCTTCAGGGAGCTCCTCCAAGGACTGGGCAGGAGCTGCAGAATGCAAAGGGGTGGCTCTCTCTTCCAGATGCTGTCCCGAAGCCCCATGGCCGCCTTCCTGATGCAGACCAAAGACAACCCCATGAAGGCTGTGGGTGTTCTGGCTGGCATCATGGCCATCATTGTGGCCATAACCGTCCTCATCTCCACCGCCACCTTCTGGCGTAATAAGAAGTCCAACAAGGTCCTGCCTGTGCGGCGAGTACTCCGCAAGCGGCCCAACCCTGCGCCCCATGCCGTCCGCATCGAATGGCTCAAGTTCAGAAGGACCAAGGCTGCCGCCAAGTTTGTGCTCAGAGAGGATCCTTCCAATGAGAACTGCAACAACAACAGCCTAGGAAGTACACTGCCCCCCAAAGCCCCAGCTCCCCCTCCACCACCCACAATGGCACCCAAGATGGGCATGGCCCCCTGGACTGTGCCTACAGTCTCTGGCTCACTCACCCCTAAGCAACCCCAACAGTCACCAAAACCCAAGGTAGGAAGCCCCATCCAATCAGCTCTGGTCTCTGAGCTCAGACAGAAGTTTGAGAAGAAGGGTGTAGGTAATAAGGCTTACTTTTAGCATGTGTCCTGTGGACCCTCATTTCCCCAGCCCAACTTTCCTACTACTTGGACCATGCTCCCCACCACCTGCTCCTTAGGGTCACCTCTGTTTTGTACCATGATGTAAGCCCCATATCCACGGCTCTGGACATGCCTTGGATGAGGGATTTCTCTGTTTATGGGCTGCAACTGCAAATACTTCCTCATCACCCAGATTATTGGCACAGTTATGTGCCCCCCCATTCCCCAGAGGCTGGGAATCAACAAAGAGCCAGCTCTGGGTGTCTTCTACTCACGAACCTCAGACCTCGCCGAGTCCCTCAGGTCCTCCTGCAGCCTCAGCATCCTCAGTGGAGGATCAGGGCCCTGGCTGCATGTGGCAAGGCCAACCAGAACCTGGATCCTGAAGCCTCCCACTAAGAGCAGGAACAGGAAAAGGAAGTTCAGCCCTGGCTAAGGTTGTGGTCAGTGACCCTTGCAGGCTATAGGAGAACAAATGCATCAGGACCGGGCAGTGATGCCCTGAAAACTCACGCCAACTGTGGGGCTGTTCCTCAAAGCCATTGGAAAGATGGAGAATGGTGTCTGGGCAGAGACCATGGGTCCCTGCTATATCCGCACGGGACCAGGGGCACAGAGGTATGAAATGGCCCCAGCCAGGGCTGTCCCAGGCGGGCCCAAAAATGTCCAAGCTGGAGCCATGCAGGAGTCCTAGAGACATCCTGAAGAGCCACAAGCCCCACCCTAAGGTGCTGCCCTTCCAGGAGTCCTTGAAGAGACAGTGCAGGGCTGAATTTTGGAGAGATCTGTTTTTATCCTGCTCACATGGTATAACCTTGGGAAAGCCGTTTAAATTCCCTGATCACTCACTTCCTCATCTGTAAAATGAAGTAAGTCAGTCTTCACTGCCTCACTCACAGGTCCAAGGTGGAGACTGAAATAAATATGTGGTAACAAGGGCTTTAGCCAAGTGCAAAGCAGCACAAACGCAGAGTATTTTTCTGCAGGTCAATCCTCTGGGGTGCAACTCTTCCAGAAAGTATTAGGAGCCTCTCAGGCTATTCTGCCAAGCACCCCCAGGAGGGCCTGTGCTGCGTCTGAGTGCCACCCCTGATCCGTGGCAGTCAGGGCTGGACGATGTCACTGCCCTTGACTGAGGCTCCTCCCGTCCTGTTCTCCCCCACCACATGCCCCACGCAGCCCTGGCCAGCCACCGTCAGAGAGGACCAAAGCCGGGCAGCACATCCAGCCCAAGCCTCCGTTTTGCCAGGGTGACAGATGGGTTTCCAAAGGAGGAGTGATTGGTAGAGGCCACACAGCAGGTTGGTAGCAGAGACCTGGTCTGAGGGCTCCTGGCTTCTCGACGTTTGCCCCTGACCAACCACACCTCGTCAGCTTGTGACAACCTGCCCCAGGAAAAAGACACACAGGCCTCTATGTTTAATGCAAAGAAGTTCTGCCCGACTTTCAGGAAAACTGCTTTATAAGGAATCTAGATGTGTGCAGGGAGAGGGTTCTTTGCATCTTGCTCCCCTCACTAATAATCGCTTTAGAATATCATCAGTGATTTTATTTAAACCGATTAGATGCACATGCGGTTTTCTTGATTTCTGAGTCTGTGTTTTGAGGTGTTACTCAGATGTGCCGGTGTGTAAGCTCCTTGCTGGGGTTTCTGCAGTCCCCACCCCAGAGTGTATTAAGAGATGAAATCTAACAAGCTGGGAGCCCAGCCTGATCAAAGAGGCATTTTGCAGCGTATATTTCAGGAGAGGACTGTGATGGACCATGTTTGCCCTGCATGGGGAATACGGCATCCTTCCAGTTTGCATGTGATCAACCTCTTTTGTAAATGGTCAATAAAATCTGTTAAGCAAGGGCCAAGCTGACCTCCTGCGCCCTGCTTCCATGTGCATTAGCTGACTCATAGGGACCAGTCTCCCTGACAGCCATGCTCGGCCTGCCTCCTGGCTCCTTCGGTGGGTGGATTCATCCCCTAACCCCTAGATCTGACTCCGTGGGAGGCTGCAAAATTTTGTGCAAATGGCCACGCGTATACCTCTAATGGTAATATTTGTGGGGCTTGTCTATCCGATCCTGACTCACCAGGGGCCTGGACTGGGCTTTTCTCCTGAGCAGGACAAGCCCCAGCCGGGTTGCTTGGGAAGGAATGGACTCTGGAGCTAGAACCAATTATCCCCCAGCCCAACCCAGCAGAGGCAGGGATTGGGAGACCTGGCATGGACACGAAAGCCTGGGCAGAAGTGCAGTCTCTGGGACGGTGGTCATGAGAGCCTCTGGGCTAGAAGCTCAGGGCAGCATCCAGGCCCTGGGTGGGGCGTGGGCTCTGGGACAAATCCAGAACTTGAACCAAGGTAGAGGCAGTCTTGGAAAACAGGGCCTTTGGGGCAACCTCCTGCACTGGGAAGTATGGGGAAAGTACCTAGCTGCTGGCAAGAGCCATACTGAGAAAGAATAGGAAGGTATGGCCAAACCTAGGGTTCCAGCAAATGTGGAGGTACTGGAAGTGACCCCCATCCAGTGGGAGTGAGGCTTGGCCAAGTTCTACTGCATGAGGGAATGGTGGGGACCGAGGGATCGCTGCCCAGCCATGCTGGGACAGGCCTGGCCTCTAAGCTGGCACAATTTTAAGCCTCCAGCTAAAGAGCTGGGAGGCAGGGGTTTCAGGTTAGGAGGACTCTCCCACTTCTGGGCCCTAAAAAAGGAATGGATAATCAACGTGTCTCCAGGAAACCTGCAGGACAGTGTGTGTTTTTTCCTATGGTTGAGGTCAGACTTTCTAACTATATGAAATAACATGGTACTTTCCAGTCTGATAGCCCTGGGTCTGAATCCTGGTTCTGCTGCTTACGTGTATGACTTTGGGCAAGAGACTAAGCCTCCCTGGGCCTCACTTCCCACATCAATACGTGGTATAAAAAATCAGTGCCGTGAAGGTGACGGGAGCTAATCTATGTAAAGCATCCAGCAGCAGCTTTGTATCTGCTGATATAAGCTGAGGAGACAGTTGCTATTCTTAGAGGTATGAGAGCACCTTTGAGGATGTCCGCATGCTGGAGCACCATATCCTGGAGGCGAGGACTCCTGCTCGTGCTGACCTCCAGGATGTTTCCACCCACTGATAGGCCCTGGAGCCTCTCCTTTGTACGAAGAGAGGAGAGGTGGAGGAGGGCAGGGCAGATGCCACAGCTCTGGATCTGTGCAGCTGGGGACCCTGTGCGGAGCATCTGCATCCCAAAGGAGTCAGGAACCGAGGAGACTATCCCTAAGAGAACCTGTGGGACTCGGGACAGAGCAGCTGTCCCTCAGAGTCCAGCTGGCAAAATGTGACAAAAGCTGGTGCACAGCCGGAGCCTCCCACTTCTCTGAGGCCTTGTGCAATGCTGCTACTCTGAGGACAGGAAGCTTCGAGAGAAGCCAGGGTCAGCCCACCTAGTATGGATGTTGGCATCTGTTGGCAGGCAGTGATGCCTCTCTGACAGTCCTCAAGGGCCCTGGCCACAGGGGGAAGGACAGGGAGAATGGGGAGGTTGCCATGTGAGGACTAAGGCTGCCACAGGCCCGTGGAGAAGCTGCAAAAAGACAGATGTGAGTTTAAATCCTGAGAAGGATCACCAGCAGCAGAGCTGCCTGGAGGGACAATGAGGTTCTCTGGGGTTCACGAGGAAACCTCCACTCCATGTGCACCCAGATAAGAGGAGACAATCACCTCTCAGGGGTTTAATAAGAGAGCTTGAAACATTTAATAGGGGAAGGGAGTGGGGATTATAGCCTCATTCATGTAATAAACACTTGTGCTCGGTGCTGAGACGCTAGGGACACAGGGCTGGAAAAATAAGCCTGAAGCTCAGAATCACATGAGACTAGGTGGGAATCAGGATTCTGTAGCCTCCCTTTGTAGATGATAATAATAATGATTATAGGGTCATATGATTTTATATAGATTCTATTCCTTCTGGGTATGGCCGTTGCAACTCTACTTTCTAACAATCATTGGACCACAAGCCCTGGGATGTAGCCAATCTCCTGTTCCTCAGTGCTGATGGCACCAGGCTCTGAGGAGCACCAAGGACTGCTCATGGGGACACAGACACCCACAAATAAAGGGTCACATCACCCACCAGGCTCTCATTGCCCCACCAGGCAGCTCTTTGGAGCCTCAAACTTAGGTGATCTCATTGGGGGTTTCCAGTAAGAGGAAGAAGAATACTTTCTGAAGGAGACACAAGAACACTGCAGAGCAGACATTTAGAGGAAACAATGGAATGAGAGCCTCTCTCGAGCGGTGCCTCCACCAGCAGCTAGATGGGTGACACTGCACAAGTCACTGTACCTTGTGGTTTTCAGCTCCCTCACCTGTAGAAAGCGTAGAATTCTACCTTTCTCCAACAGGATAGCACATGTGGCATGTTCTATGTAATTGTTACAGGGCTATATATAGGGAAAGAGTAACATTTATTGATTGCCAGCCACCATGCATAATAAGACAATCAGACGGGCCAAAGCTCCACTGGCATCCCTTCCAGGAAGGATTGTGTCTTCCTGATTATTGTGTCAAGTTCAGTGCCCAGAACAGAGTAAGTGCTCAATAAAGAGTGTTGAATAAATGGGTCAAGCCAAGTTGAGTTAGGGACCAAAGGCCCACACTGCCCCCCGCCCCTGCCATGCCCAGCCTGAGCTGTTCAGCCCCAGTCTTCCTCTCTGTCTTGCTCCTCATCCCCTTCAGCCTCTCTGTGGCCCAGGCCATCCTCGCATACAGCTATGTGCTCTCTGCAGTAGCGGTCCCAGGGCTGCGGTGCCGCCCGGGGACACCTGGGGGCCTTCCTGCGCTGAGGACAGCAGTGCAGCCCCCACGCCCTGAAGCTGCAAGGGGCCTGGGCTGCGCAGACGTAGGTGCCCACGGGCACCGCAAGCAACACAACACACAGGACCACTGCGACATGCAGCAGGCGCTCCCGTCCCTCCAGCTCGCTGTGGTCTCTGCCCGTCACAAAGACCACACACCGGCCCCTGCGTGCGGGCTGGCCCTCCAGGCTGAGGCATGCCTCGTATTTTGTGCCCGGCAGGAGGTCCTCCACAGTGTATGTGTTGATTCCGGGGCCGATGTGCACCACCTCCTTCCTGAGCGTTTCATCCGATGCAAGGTAGAGGGTGAACCATTTCTCCTCAGGGGCATCCGCCACTGCAAACCACTCTAGCAAAATCCCATGCACTGTCTGCCTGACGACCCGCAGGTCAACATAGGCATTGCCATCTGAAGGGGAAGAGGGAGAATGGGTTGCCGTCAGGGCCTGGGTGGGCTGGACGTGGAGGGAGATGACAAGGGTGCTCCTGCCAATGGAGTTTGAGGCCACACAGGTGTAATTGCCTCTGTCTACCAGGTGGGCAGCAGGTATGACGAGTTCCGACAGAGCAGTATCTTCTGCAGTAGATGAAGTCAACACTGGGGGAGAGAGAGCAAAACAGGTCTGACAGACACGTCTCTGATAGCAAGCTGGACAGTGTTCAGCAATGCCAGTTATCTTTTTTAAGCTGGAAGTGACCATTTATTAAGCATATGTTTGGTGCCCAGGAGTTGCCTCTCAGCAACCCTGTAAGGTAAGTACCCCAGTTTTACACATAAGAGGTTGAGGATTGGAGTGATTAATCAGCTTGCCCATAAAGAGAGATGTTCAGAGACAGTGACTGACCTGGAACCTCATTCTTCTGCCTATGAAGACTCTACTTCCAAATTCACTAGCTGCTCCCACCAAACCACCGGAAGCCTTGCTGTGCTAACAGCATGGTTTTGAGGAGATCTCTTGCAACTGTGTGCTATTGTGAGCCTCAAGAATTGCCTTTTGGGGGTGCCTGGGTGGCTCCATTTGTTAAGCATCCAACTCTTGGTTTTGACTCAAGCCATGATCTCAGGGTCGTGAGGTCCAGCCCCGCGTTGGGTTCCACGCTCAGCAGGGAGTCTGCTTCTCTCCCTCTCTCTCCCTCTCCCTCTGTCCCTCCCCCCACTTGTGCTTTCTTTCTAAAATAAATAAATAAATCTTAAAAAAATATTTAAAAGAACTGCCTTTTTACCTCCCAGATATAGAGAGGCTCAGAGCCTGGAGCCAAATGCCTGGATTCTATCCCTTACTAAGTATATGGTTTTGGACCAGTTGCTTAGATTCTCTTGGCCTCAATTTCCTCATTAATAAAATGGGATGATAATAGTACTCATTCCCTAAGTTTGATAGTGAGTGCTCAGTGTGAGCTGTTGTTATTACTGAAAGAGCACATATAACATGGTACCAAAGAAACTGACTACAGAGCATTAAAAAAGACATCTGCATGCATCTCACTGTTCTTCAAGATGCTACAACAATAAATCCTACGTTTCTCCTTCACTGGTATTTAATCTCAACCCAATAAGATGTGATCAAAATGATAGGAAACAGTCAACAGTTCAGTTTCTTAGGTATTTTTTCATCTTCCAGCGGATTGTCACTATGCTAAACAAATATATGAGTAACTCACTGTATTTTACTATATTTTATTCAGGTATTTCTAGTTGACTTCTAGACAACTTTAAAGATATCTCAAGGGAGGCTATCCCTGGCCTTGTGATGTGTCCCAACCCTGCAGGGTAGCATTAAAGGTGATTCCAGCTGAGGTATGAAAACAGCATAGAGTTTCAGGATATGAGAGGCAGGTTTGAATCCCTGTGGTGGGGCCCATGGAGGTCACTTCCTCACTCAGGGTCCCAGTATTACAACTTCAAGCCAATAAGGTCTGAACAACACAGTGGTGGGAAGTGTAAAATTCAGTCAATATCTAGGAATTCCCAATCTTGCCCACTAGTAATAATTACTCGGGAAAGGAGGAGGGGAGAAGAGGG